AATTCACAACCAAAGAGTTCCAAGAACTCTTGACAAAGAATAGGATAAAGCATGAAAGATCTGCGCCCTATTCTCCTCATCAGAATGGTACAGCTGAGAGAGGTTGGCGAACCCTCTATGAGATGGGCAGGTGCTTACTTTTGGAAAGCAAGTTGCCAGATAAACTGTGGAATTATGCAATCCAAACAGCTGCTTATGTGAGGAATAGGTGTCTCAGTAGACGCACAAAGAAGACTCCATATGAGTTATTCACAGGTGCAAAACCAGATATTTCTAAGCTAAGAAATTTGGTTCTACATGTCTCGCCTACAAACAAGAAAAAGGGAAATTAGATCCCAGATGTGAGCAAGGTGTTTTCATTGGCTATGATAAACACAGTCCTGCTTATCTGGTATATTATCCAGATGCAGAAAAAGTCCAAAAACACAGGCTAGTAAAGTTCACAGCCAAGACAACCAACAAAAAAGAGACACAAACTTCTGAACCACACATCAAGTATAGTGAAAGTGGAATCAATCCAGTGGTTCATGACAGAAAAGAAGAAGTTGAAGGAGAAAGTACATCAAGTCATGATAATGATAATATCTCTGATATTTCCACAAAACAGACTGAAATGCCACAACCTGGAAACATCCCTAAGAGTACGATCAGGAAGAACCCAGAGAGGACAAGGAAGAAACCTACTTACCTACAGGACTTTGAAATGGATGATGGGGTAAACAAAGTGCAAACTAATACACATTTTTGTTACAGAGCAGTGTGTGATATCCCTCAAACCTACAAAGATGCCATTACTTCACCCAAATCAAAGCAATGGATAAATGTGATGGATGAAGAGATGCAATCATTAGAATAAAATGAAACATTCATTCTCACTCACCTACTGTACCACCGGGAAAACATGCAGTGGGGGGGAAATGGGGTTATGCTCTCAAAAGTGATGCTGATGGTTCCGAAAAGTACAAGGCAAGGTTCGTAGCAAAAGGCTACAGTCAAAAAGCTGGAATAGACTATGAAGAGACATTCTCACCAACAGCGGACATGACCAGTGTGAGAGTGGTTATGCAAAAGGCAGCTCAGGAGAATTTAATTCTTCATCAGATGGATGTAAAGACTGCATATCTACATGCACCTATTGACTGTGAGCTCTATATTGAGCAGCCAGAAGGCTATGAGTCAAAATCAGAAACAGGTGGAAAACTGGTATGCAAGCTGAATAAGTCTATCTATGGTCTGAAACAGTCCGGTAGAAATTGGAATGCCATGTTACATG